CATTGAGGATCTGACCAGGTGAAGGAGGCTCCTCGGGGTATTTTCCCCCCCTCGCAGGTCCCAGCTTGCCATCGGCAGCGCGTAGGGGGTTGCTTTTAGCAGAATTTTGGTACTAAAGCTTTTGCCATCAAAGGTAAGGGCTGAGCAGGTTGCTGCGCTCTCCTCCAAAACAAGAAACCAGGGCACTCGGGTTCTGGAGACTGTCCGCAGCTTTCAAGAGCTCCCCAAACGCGGGTGTTGGTGCACGCTCTGGAGTTGGTGTTTCTTTTTTCCGAAGCCTGATAAGAGCCTGGGAAAGCCGCAGTGCATCCAAGGAAAATCCAGGCAGCTCCTCCCATCGCCTGCCCCTCTCGCTGGGGTAAGCGAGCGCCGGTCTGCCCCCGCCGTCAGGAGGACGTGACTGATGGGAGAATTTCTGAATCCCTTCAATATTAATGTTCGATAGCTGATAAAACAGAAAGCCTCGCAGAATATGGGTGGGTTTCCTAAAGGCCTCCGTCCCCTGGGCAGCAAGGCTGAAGAGGCATTTTCCTTTATGATAACTAGTGATGCGCTGCAGAAACATTAAGAAGTATTGAAAGCTTTGGGGGGAAAAAAAGCAGCTGAAAAAGAAGGTGCGCTGGTTATTGTCAGGGTGCCAGGAGGACGGTTTCAAAACTGAAACATTAGGCTTGCAAAAAATACGGCCTAAATTTGTTTCTATTTTAAAAGGTGGCGGTGCTGCCTAGCAGCTGGTCGAGATTGAACGGTACTCTGCCTGGAAAAAGTTTCCGCCAGCTGGGGTGGCCCTGAGGGATTTGGGAGCGGGTCTCGTGCTGCCCGGGGTCCCCGGGGACGAGCAGGCGGGGTGTCACTTGAGCCTGGCGAGGAATCGGCGCTGCTTTCCTGAAGGAAGGGCGAGCGATGAAAGGGGGGTTTGGGGGGGGTAGGAGCTGGGTCAGTAGGCGAACGGCAACGCCACCTCGCATCTGTTTCTCCTGTGCTTCGCGAAACGCTTTGCTTCCTAAATGCAATTAACGGCAACTTAGTAAATGAAATTTGTTTGGAAGCTGGTCGGCGTGGTGGGGGC